GTTTTTTTTTTTTTTTTTTTTTTTGGTTTTTTTTTTTTTTTTTTTTTTTTTTTTTTTTTTTTTTTTTTTTTTTGGTTGTTATTTTAGTACTTCAGTTTAAAATTATTTTATTTCCCTTGAAACATTTCAAATTTTATAATCTAATTTTAGTTTAGGTTAAGTTTCCAATATTTCAATATCCAATATTTACATTTTATTTCAGCTTTATTTCAGTTAATGGAAATTATTGTTAATAGTTTTAGTTTACAATAACAAAACTGGTATTTAAATATTTATTTTTAAATAACTTCCAATAAGTTTATTTTACAATGTTTATTTTCATTTTTGTTTTACAATCTTTTGGGTCTTTTTTGAAACTTTCAGCTGATTGTATCATGGCTACTAGACATGTAGAGAGAGTGTCAAGCAAAGAAACTTTTTAAAGGCTTGTAAGAAGGTCCAAACCCACCTTCAGAACCTCCACCGGTACTTGAGCTGGAGAAGGCCGGGCAGCCATTGGCGGCACCGTGACGGAGATGGCGGGAGTGGATTCTAAAGGGCGGAGCTGAGCGACAGAAGCCTGCTGCTGCGCCTCCCTCCTCTCCTGCTCCTGTGCCTGCTCCCGCATCAGCTGTTGCCGTAGCAACACTCGGGATGACATGGCTACGCTGGTTCCACAGGTCAAGTATGAGAAGAAGTATCAAGCTGCAGTGGTGAAAGCATCAAGAAAGTTGTCAATAGTACTAGAGGCAGCATAAAAGGAAATTATGGAAATGGTCACTTCTCCCTTTGTACAATGAAGGGTTAAGAAACAGGGACATTTAATTGAGCAGAGTCATCACACTCAGATAGTTGCATTCAAAGAGAAATTTAATACTGTACCAAAGCTCGATCAGCAAACCGATTCAGTTCTCAAACTATATATGAATATAAATTATATCAAAATACTTGTATATATAATTAACACACAAATCACAAGTAGCATACTTAAATTGCAACTGTGCATTTTCAAAAGCTATAAAACTACCCAACAAGCGCGATATATTAAAAAATACAATAAAACGTGTACGACCAAAATCCACTTTAAATTTAATTTCTGAATACGCATCATGTCACATGACTGAAATAGAGCTCTATCATGGGGAAGTACAGAATTTACCAGATGACAGCTAAAAAAAATTCCCTTTAAATACCAACAAATCACCTGGAACACTAATTTGAATGTATTTCTGGAGCTATAAACAAACAAAAACACTTCAATTACGATTGTGCAGTAAGATATGCTACTGTAACGTTAGCTGAGGTATTGTGTAATAGTTCGCAACACTGTCGGGATTAACCGAACTATTTAAAGTTGGGCAAATTCGTTAACTTAAACCAAATTAACTTGTGTATTCGTTATTTACAACATTAAGCAAATGTAACTGCATGTGACCATCTCTATGGCGCACTTGACAAACCCGGAATAAGTTGTTTTTGACAGCATCCAGCTGTTAACGCTAAGCTAACAAGCTAGCTAGTTAACATGTCAACCAACGTCAAACTGACACGTTGCCTGTATTTAACTTAATTTTCTTTCACGCAGAATTATTCTGAGATTAACATGGCTCACACATAAGTGTCAACTCAACAAGAGGTCGAAATTAAGTTGTTTTGAGTTACCTGGTTGGTGTTAGCAGAAGTTAAGCGAGTTTGCTAGAAGAATCGCCATTACTCGCATGAGGATTTCCTTGTTTTGGATGTGACAGACTGAGCCCATCTCTCCTCATCACACTCATTCCCTTCCTCTTTCACATGTAAAGTTTTCTGTCATTGTTAGCTAAAACTATTAAAAAGTTAGGTAATTGAAATACAGCTGAAATAAAGTAAAAATATTATATGAAAATTAATCTTTAAAATTAGATATGAACTGTTGCATTTATAACGGACAAAAATACTAAAACTAAAATTACATAAAGACAAATTAAAAAGCACATCAAAATTACTAAAACTTACAACGAAAATGAAAATATTAAAATAAAAGCTATTTATAAATACTATAATAGGAGAGAGAGAGACAGACACCGAGAGAGAGAGAGAGAGAGAGAGAGAGAGAGAGAGAGAGACAGACAGAGAGATTAAAAGTAACACTGGCATGGTATCTACATGTTTTCAAAGCTTACAAACAAAAAATGTTTACAGCACCAGTCAAAAGGTTGGACACACCTACTTAATTATTATTCTTAAACATGAAAAATTGTAATAAAGTAAAAATTCCGAAATGACTAAATGAAAGTATGGGGAAAATATTGTGGCAAAAAAAAAGAAAAAAAAGTCAAATCAAAACTATTTTATGTGACTAAATTACAGGCTACTCTTCCTTGATAATCTGGTTTAACTAGTTCCTATGAAAGTAAATAAATGTTTGTTTGTTTTTTCTTAAAATTCATAAATAACAGATTTCAATTTAAATGTTTTTACATTGGTGACGACGATGGCAAACTGTCAACAAAACATTTCAAACCATCATAGTTGAATAGCTCAAGTCATAAGTTTTAAACAGATTTTTAAAAAACTGGTTGACAGATGGTATGAGTTTCTCTGGTTACAAGGAGCTGTACAGTAAAAGAAAACCTGCAGGTGATTTATGAGTAGAAAGGAGGTCAATAAATAACCACAGAAATCTAGTGGTGTCATTCTTTTCAGTCAGAGAAAAGATTCTTTATTTGCATATTTTATAGATAATTTAAATATACATGTGAAAAGTTGAATGAACTACCCTGAGCATCTTGGTTTAATGCTCGCCGCATCAGCTGTCAGACAAGGAGAAATTCAAAGCTGATGTAAGAGAATCTGAAAGTTTGGTGCCCAGTTTATCTATGAAAGAAGAAAGGAGAAGATATGTTGGAATACATAGTTTTTTAAGCAGTGTATTTGGCTTGTACTATATGTAAAAAACAAACTGTATCCAAAATAAATGTTTAATGGCAAGCATGTTGAAGATTACCTGATAGGCTGTCAATTCATTAAATGATAAGCTGTTTTGCCACAAAACAGTTTTTATTTTGGCAGTTTATTCAGTGTAGGGAAGTCTTTCCTCCATTTGCATCCATAAAAAAAAAAAAAACAGCCTCAGGTCTTCTTTTTTTGCTAACCTTGGAGGCTTGCTTTAAAGTGGCTTTGGAGACAGGAAAAACAATGTTGGTCTTACCAGCTCTTTTTTGCTGCTTCTTTCTCTTTTTGTTGGCAGCCAGGAGAGCCTGACCTTGCAGGAGTGGGTCAACATCCAGGATTTCTTTTAGGTCCACTGGCTTTGGGCCTACAGCTTCAATTGCAGTACTGCTTTTTGTCTTGGGAACCTTTAGCTCAACGGTCATTGGTCCGAACTTAATGGACGAAATATAATTGAAAATCAAAAATTAGATTTGAGTCTTAAAACGCACTATAACAAATTACCACCAAACTAACCTATGCACACTGAACGACTAATTGTAGGTGGGTGTAAAATTATCTTGAATTAAGAACTGAAATGCATAATACCTCTGGGTCCTCATCTGCATCCATTGATTCAACCGTGTCTTGAAGTTCAAGGTCCTCTGATGGGTCGTCCATTTGCTGTTCTGCTAGCTCTTCTACTTGACCTTGTGTCAATCCTGACGTAGCCATACAGAACCCCATCTGTGCATCAGATGCACCACATTCTAAATGGTACAAAAATAAAATGGCATAAGTGTGTGGAGGTAATGCGTGGTTACAAAACTTTTGGAAATGTCATGGAATTTTCACTGATAGTATAGACAGGGTTACCAGCCAGCGCCTCCAGATTGCCCTTCTCCAGTTCATCCCAGTCAAAAGCTTTGCCCATCTCAGCAACAATCTCAGCACTGACATGCGTGGGCAGTGTGTGCGTCTCAGGAGGATGTGTAAAGTAGCTAATACGACCCCTTTGAGACACCGAGAAAGATTTCAGAATGAACTTTACAGTAGTCGTCTGTTTTTGACCAACCAGCAACAGCTAAAGTAGCATTTAAATTACATTGAATAAAAGTCTAAAACTGAATCTTTTTCTGCCTTAAAAACACTAGGAAATGCAATTATATGCTTTTTAATTTTATGTCTTTATGAACTTTTTGAAGCTTGAAAATTGTGGACTTGTAATAAACAGACAAAATGATGGGAGAATATTAAAATCTTCAACTGAGTTCCAAAGATGGACAAAATACAAAATAGGTTTGGAACGACTTGAGGGTGAGTAAATGACAATTTTCACTTAATTTCAAATTTTCTTTTGTGCATTCAGTTGAACATTTAGTCTTTCTAACCTTTTATGCCATTCTTTCTTCTGTGAAACACATAAGAAGATATTTTGAAAAACATCTGTGTTTATCCATGAAATCCATAAAGTCATGGGGTCCAAAGTTGTTTTGCACATCTTTGTATGTGAAAAAACAGGTGAAACATTCTTCAAAATATCATTATTTTTTGTTTTGCATTAGAAACTAAGTCATGGGGGTTTGGAATTTCAAAGGAATTTCATTTTTGTGTAAAGTATCACCCTTAAAGATCAACAGGTAACTGATGTTAAGGTCAACGGGACTATAACCTCACCGTCCAATCCATAAGAACACTCTTGGCAGCTTTGTCAGAGTCAGGCAGTCCTCCTTTCCTCAGCTTGCCTTGACGACGGGCAAGTAAGGCAAGGAACTCATGTGCTGTCTGGAAGTCTGGAATTTCATAATGATCCATAATCTACACAAGAAAGATTACAAACAACTTATCTCAATTGTGTGTAATACTATGACTACCCATTCAATTAAAGCTCCTGAAATATGAGTTGCTACCTGTGCTTTATTGCAGCGCCTCAATATGGCTTCAACAGGTGGAATTGGGTCCATCAGCTGTTCAATCTTGACACAGTTCCGAAGGATCATGGCAGCATCACTGGTCGAGGTTGCCATGACAATACCAGGACAATCTAAAAGTTTGATGTACTTATCTAGATGGACTTCCTGTAAACACCTGAAAAACAGATTGATTTTAGTGAAAGAGAGCAGAAGGTTTTAATTAGAAAAAAAAAGACTTTAAATTTATGGAAAATATCAACATACTTAGTAACTCCAGGTGTAGCTCCAACATTACATGCACGAGAACGCTTCAAGCTGTTAATTAAACTGCTTTTCCCCACATTTGGAAAACCTGAAACATTTAAGCGGGGTAATGTGATTCCAAAAAGACGGGTGTCTGTTGCTAATTTGCTCATTATGGAATTAGCTACATGTAACAAAATAATAATAATAATAATAATGTAGCAGTCATATCTCAACTGTTGTGTGAAACCTACCAACCACTCCTACACTTATGGCAGTTTTTATATCTTGGTTACGGCAGTAGTTTCCCAATAGTTTCATTAAACAATCCGCACCGACACATGCACTGCTTTCAAGCAGCTCTTGAGTAGCCTGGGTCACAGGCACACGACTCCGTTTCTGTAATCGTCACACAGAAAAATATTACTGTAACTTTGTGATTTTTTCATTAACAGTCCACAGTAAAAAAAAAATCAAAATAAGGTACACTGATTTGTTGAAATAATGAAACACTACTGCAACTCAAATGTTTGTTCTGCTGCTGAGTGGACGATTTGAAAGTCACAGTAGGAAACTCATTGCGAAGATACTTAATCCATTTTTCCACAATTTCTTTGGACACCAAATCTGTAGTGATCAATGTAGACATTTTTATTTTATGCATTTCTGTCTGCTGCACCTTGAAGTTATAAATGCTAAAAACCAAGTACTGTCTTACCAATTTTATTGAGAACAAGGACAATTTTCTTGTTGGTTCCACTTTGGACAACAGCCTGTTCAACCTGTGGACAGCGGCAGCCTAAGGGGTCTCTTGCATCCAGAACCTCTAAAATAACATCTGCTGCTTCTATTACCTGATATAAAAAGAATCAAAAAAGTAAACCGTCATTAAGAATTGGCCATTAGATGTGCATGTTCAATGTGAAGTATAAAGGGTTATCAAAACAGGTCAGTACAGGAAACAGTACCTTTTTAAATTCTCTGCCGTATGCTTTTCTTGAGTTCTCAGTCTCAAACTTGACATGCTTTTCCAGGTTTTGCATTTGAATTTCCTGCACCATTGCAAAAAAAAAATAAAAAAATAGAGGGTTATTAAGACAAAGGTGCAACTCTACAATAGGAAAATTTATAGGGGTGGATCATTTATATTCCGTCACGGTAGTTGCACAAAATCGTGACATGGATAAACTATAAAATGTAATTTGCAAACATTTCAGGCTGTTCTACTGTATATCCATTTACAAAGAAACACCACTTCTGAATTGGCCCGAACAACTATGCATTACAAAAAAAAGTGTGTGTATAACATACTGTACATATCAAGGATGTGATAAATTGATTAAAAAAAAATAACAGTAAAGATATGTATAATGTTACAAAAGTTTTCAAATAAATGCTGTTCTTTTTTTCTATTTGGTCTTTTTTCTTTAGTTTTCTATTCATCAAAGAATCCTGAAAAAATATAACCCGCTTTCCACAAAATGTTTTCAACATTCATAATAAGAAATTTCATAAACAAAAAAAAAATATATATATTATTGACCCCACATTTTTGAAATGTACTGTATTTTAAAAAACATTACATGTATTCTATTATATTTTGTTCTGTTCTATATTCTAGAAAAAACCTAATACTTTGTCATAGTAAAATGTCATAGACACCAACCCTCTGTTCAAAATCTCTCTGCCGTAATTGGATGTCTTTCTGAAAACTGTCCAGACTTCTCCGTTTCATCATTTCCTTCTCTCTTGACAACCTCTGCCTCTCCTGTTGCTCCTCCAACTAGAAAACAGTTGACAAAAATTGCACATCAGCATTTTTTATATAAAACTCTTCAATTAGTCACATAAATAAAGGTAAAATCATACAGTCGTGGTCAGAATTATTGGCACCCTTGGTAAATATGATCGAAGAAGGTTGTGAAAATAAATCTGCATTGTTAATCATTTTGATCTTTTATTTTTAAAAAATTCAGAAATATCTAACCTTTCATTGAACTAAAACAATTGAAAATGGGGGAAAATCTCATTATGAAATAAATGTTTTTCTCAAATACACGTTGGACAATTATTGGTACCCCTAGAAATTCTTATGAGTAAAATATCTGTGAAGTATATTCCCATTCATATTTACAATTTTGAGCACTCCATGGTGATTATGAACATGAAATTATCCAGCCATGGCATCCTGTTTCACAACAATATAAATCCATCACAATGAGAAAAACCAAAGAATATATTTCTGATGTGCAGCAAAAGATAATTGAGCTTCACAAATTGTGACTTTAAGAAAAGAGCTAGAGGAGTGAAAATTCCCATTTCCACCATCAGGGCAATAATTAAGAATTTCCAATCAACAGAACAACACAAAAATGGGTCACTGGGCACAAAACCAAGCATCTGCTATGGCAATTCCAGTTCCCTGACCTGAACCCTATAGAAAATGAGTGCGGTGAACTGAAGAGGAGAAGCACCATCATGGAGCTGGGAATCTGAAGGGTCTGGAGAGATTCTGGATGAAGGAATTGTCTCTGATCTCTTGTCAGGTGTTCTCTAACCTCATCAGGCATTATAGGATAACTCAGAGCTAACTGAGTTAACGCATAATAGCTCAGAGCTGTTATTATGCCAAATGGAGGTTTCAAAAAGCACTGAATAAAAGGGTGCCGTTAATTGTGTCCAATGTGTATTAGAGAAAAACATTTATGTCATAATGATATTTCCCCCCATTTTAAATTCTTATTCTCCAATGAAAGGTTAGATTTATGTGAATTTTTTTAATAAAAGATCAAAATGATTAACAATGCAGATTTATTTTCACAGCCTTATTTGATCATATTTACCAAGGGTGCCAATAATTCTGACCACGACTGTATGTATTTCAGATTTGGAAATATGCAGCATATTTAGAAATGGTTGTACAGATCCCTTCCCCACCCTCTGCTTTCGGAGTTCAGCTTGTCTCTGACTGTGTTCTTTGAAGCTGCGCACATTAGGTATGCCAGGATCCTTCTTTCCTCCATTAGACTGCTGCCCATCCTTGGACTTTAGAGAAGAGAAACAGATGACAGTCAACAGGCACTGCTTGTCAAACGGTGGGACACTCAATTTTTGTTTCTCAATATCTTAAATCCTCATAAATATGGCAAAGAATGGCAAATCTAGGCAAAGAGTGGAGCTTTGAAGCAGCTCAAATATAAGACTTGATTTGTTTACCTTTCTGTCATACAACATAACTTCCATTATAGTGTTGTTTCAGTTTTGATTATTTACAATGTGTCCAAATATTTGACTGGTAGTGTTTCTTGTTCTGATACATTTAGACATACAGTAAGTAAGCAGGTCATATTCACTTCAACTGAACTAAAAGAAACATTGCATTGCATAAACAGTAAGTTAGCATTTAGCATGTAGGCTAAACTACGCACCTTTTTACCGCAAAACCCCAGGCGTTTCGCTCGCTTTTGCTCTGTAACACGGTAAAAGTAATTAAATAAGAATGACCATTATGTTAGGAGATTTTTTTAATGCTCTGTATGTAAAAAAGACTCAGAGGTACATATACTCACTTGCTTTGGACATGGCTGCACGAGTGAATGCTTTAAAGTGTGAAGGCTGCACGCACCGAACTCCATTTATTTTATTTTTCAAAATAAAAGTCTAAGTGAAACAGCAGCGGCCGTCCTGTGGCTTGAAACCCATTGAAAAACTGTACAGTGGCACAACGCTGCCACATACAGTGGAGATCAAAATTTATAAATACTTGATTTTTTTCTGAAATATTGTTAATCTTCATTGCTCAAAATTTGAAGGAATGCTAGCTGTAGGTATACCACTGTTCTACTAACATGTTTGACAAAATATCCAAGGCATTTCAACAAAAACCTTTATTTTGTGGAAAACACAGTGATCAAAATTAGAGAACAGAAACCACTGTAGGTCGAAAGATGATTACAACTACAATTTTGGAGGGTTACAGCTGTCAGAATTCAGTAGGAATTGTAGAGGCCCCTGCTTTGAATGACTTCAGCACACCTGCAGCCACAGGACATCACTAGTTTCTCACACTGCGCTGGTGTGATCTTGGTCCACTCTTCTTCCACTCTCTTCCATAGTTAAAAGTATTTTCCAGAGATTTTCAGTTGGGTTTAGATCAGGACTCTGGGCCGACCATTTCATTATTTCAGTGTTTTTCAAGGAACTGCTTTACCCGTTTCGCAGTGTGACGGTGGCATTGTCTTGCATGAAAATTGCAGGCTGATTGGGAGATGCTTGCAGGGAAGGAACTGCATGTTGCTGAAGGAGGTTCAGATAAATATTTGCATTCAACTTGCTCTCATCACTAAAGTGAACTTTAGACCAGTTCTCCTCTCTCCACACAACATGCTCCTCAGCAAAGGTGAGCTTAGCCTTTTGATTCTTTCTGCTAATGAGAGGCTTGGTCACTGCAGAGTGCGCTTTCAGTCGGACTTCTCTTAAACGTGCTGAGACAGTTCCTTACCCTGTTCAGCTCTGAACTGGCGAGCAATTTCATCTGCAGTGTTGAACTGATTCCCCATTCAGAGTCTCCACATTATCCTGTCTTCTCGTGCATTTGTCTTACGTGGACGACCAGCCTTTTGGGGGATTTGAATGAATTAGTGTCGTCGTAAACCTGCAATATTCAAGAAATCACCGATTTGGAATGACCTGCTTCTCTTGCAGTGGCTGAAAGGGTCATCCCTTTGGCCTTTATCTGGACAACCTCCTGTCGCAGGGTTTAAATTAGAGGAATGCTGCCAGTTAAATGGGGTTTCTCATATATTTAAGGAAATTATAGATAAATAGGTATCTATAAGTGTTTTCTAATTTTGATCAGAGTTCTTTTTCAAATATCTAATTTAAGATTGTTATAAAGACTGTGTTCAGAATACAATTAATTTATTAAATATGCTTAAAAAACTGCCCTTCTACTCCTGTTAGGATAATTTCAAATAGGACTAAGCAGTGACCTTGAAATTTAGGAAATAGCAGGTTGTTCTCTAATTTTGATCTCCACTGTACTTACTAGTAAAACATGATAGTTAAAACCAGACTTTAACTTTAATAAATGTGTAATTTCTTACAATGTGGCATAATGTCCCTCCAAAACCCACTTAGAAATCCATTCAAGGTTAATGAGAAAACAATAATCATCCTGGCAGATTACACATAATATGATTCAAAGTCTAAAATACAGTCCTGAACACAGGTACATTAAAAAGTACCTGAATTTTTTGTTTTTGTTTTTGATTTGTTTGATTCTTTCTCAGTTAAAATTAGTATCAAAAACATTCCCATTAAAACAGGATTTCCCCGCCATAACTAGTAACTGACTCAACATTGTTGTTCTAGCTCAAACAAATACACATGCACATGAGCAGAATCCACAACAGTCACACAAGCCCCTCTACACTCACACGAATGCCCTCATGTACACAAATACACTCAACAGTGTTTTAACCTAATGAGTTCCGTCATATAAGCTTCCTATAAAAGTCGGGACTTTACTGGCCAGTCTAGGTGAAATCTTCTATCCGCTTGATGTGGAATAGAGCTTATGTGAGATTACAAGATGTTACCTGGCTTCATGTGCTCTTCATTTATCCTTTATAAAACCATTGGAAGATACTTTTTGAGAAATTCTTAGATTTCCATAAGTTCAGGAGATCCAAAGTGCAGTTATCTTTTAAGTTAAAAAGCGAGCTATTCATTCTTGAAGAGCATCATTAAAGTGTTTCATCTTTTATTTCTCTTCTTTTAGCTCATCTGCAAAACAACTTTACATGGATTCTGATCTGAGCTGTTCCCTGTACAGTGGGCTGAAATAATCACGATACTGAGATGAGGAAAAATAAACAAGCATTGACTGACTTCTACTAACAATTTGTGAATAGTTCAGACAACTAAAATATTGACTACAATGCATAATTTTGCTGCATGATTTTCTTCTTCATAAAACAATGAAACAATATTACTTTTTTTTTTGTTGCAAATGCATCTACAAAACAAAAAGCTCTGTGATGATGACAACAACAACAACAACAACATTATTCATTGGACCTGTTTTTGAACATTTATTACATCTTTTAGAATGCGTGCATATGAGAAATTTAATAAAATATTTGAATGACATTCAAACAAAATTTTATTGCAAATTCAACTTGAGTTCAATATTTCCCAGGACAGTAAACCGTTTTCATAACGTACAGAATTCCAGCTGTGACCTGAAGATCAAGTTGTAAAGTACCCCTTGTGTTATTGCTGCTGTACCCCTTGTTGTCTGGCACCATAGGCCATATTGGTCACTCTGACATTTTTTCAGAGTCATTTTCAATGAATGTGACCAAAAATAGTAAATATTGCAGTGGTTGTACCTGATACAGGGTTCTTCTCTCCCTGAGTTGGTGGCTGGCCCCTACTTTGCCTTTTATTTCTCCTTTTGCGGTTAAAATCACAACCAACAAACTGGCAGACTGGCAGGAAGTGCACCCAAATCTGCATGTTAAAGTGTGGGCCTTAACTGCCGTCCATGACCTTATATGAAAACACACATCCACACATACATTTGCACCCACGCACACAGGGGCACATGGATACTCAGAATCAAAAAGGTTAGACCTCAATTCGAGGTTAATCTTCCTTAGATAAGAAGTGCTTTTAGTGTCACATTCCAAATGAAATTGCTTAGCCCCCTTAGGCTTAAATAGAGGAAATGCAATTGACTTGCTCTTATTTGCAGTCTTCTAAGTGACCTTTAAGCTTTAAATCCTGTCTAGCACAACAAAACATATTGAATTGAAAGTTATTTTCCTTTAAGTGGACTTTGTATTAAACTGTATTAAAAGAAATTAATGCCAGGGGAATATATGAAAGACTCAAAAAAAACAAAATATTTATTTTGCTGCTTTTTTTATTTTCATCAAAAAAAAAAAAAATAGACAGGCATCTATCTATCAAACATTTTTTTGTCATTTTTGTTTTCTTGCAAGATGGCTACAAAATTAAACTTAAAGAGACATTATTACATTGCCACCAAACATCAGTCCAGCAGAATTATACATTAGAATGAGGCGATTACTTTTCACTGTTAGTTAATCCACACTGAGTGTCACTTTCCCACAAAGAGGTGCTATATATAGGCGCACAACCTTCTGAATAGCCAGTGGACAAATAATAGTGTGACAAATGCTTACCATAAAAACTGTAACATCATTCCTGTGGATCCTAAGTCACAGGGCCATTGAGAAAGTAATGTTAACACACACTGTCATGCAACAAGATATTCCCCATCACTCCAAGGGAAATATCTGGAAGCAGAATCGTCAAGATACGGTGAGGCTAAACAAGGAATATAAAAAGTCCCATTTTCATCTTTTTTTCCCCATGTCTGACTCAAGACGTTTGCTCTGAGATCTGGTGTGCAATTTATGCAGGAGCCACAGAGGACACTTCTGTCTTGGATGTGGACACCTCAGAGCCATCATCCACCTTCTTTCCAAAGAGCTGCATTATGCATACACGGAACTGCAAAGAAAGAGATATCAAGATTATTTAGCAAAGTTTTCTCAATGTGCCCAATGGTCTGAGCTCCGTTAAACAGCACTAGCTTACTTGTCGGTTCATGAAGACATAAATGATGGGGTTGTAGATGGTGGCACTCTTGGCAAAGTAGGCAGGCATGGCTGCTGCCAGTGGGTGGAAGGCATAGCCTGGGTTTGCAGCTGCAAAGCAGGCGAAGAACGTGTAAGGTCCCCAGCAAACACAGTAGGCCAGGATCATGACAACCACCATTCTGGACACTTCCTTCTCTGCTTTCTGTGTGGACTCAGAATCCTTCTGCTGCTGGGCGACCTGTTAAAAAGAAATGGCAGATGCTTAATGGCTTTTTACAAACTGGAATAAAATTTTGAAACCAGTCCAAGAGACAACTTACAGCACGAATGGCCAGCCACACAGCAATATAGCAGAGAATGATAATGGCCAAAGGGATGATACAGCAGGTGATCATCAGGACAATCATGTAGGACTGGACACCGGGGTCCTCGCTTCCACTGAAGACATCAGGGCCGCAGGAGGTCTTCAAACCGTGAGGCCAGTATCTGTGAGAAAATAATGGATTCGAAGATTCACATTTATTCTTGTGTGGAACTTATATGCTTGTATTATAAGCCAAAGAATTCAATCATTGTATGATGAATTACTAAGATATACATCTATGTAGCTGTCAAATGTCTTCATTTTGATCATTTAATAATGGACTTTACCTGCTCCAGCCAAAGATGGGAGGTGCACACCAGAAAATAGGCCAAACCCAGGAGAAGATGATACCAGCAGATGCCCATTTAGCATCAAACTTGACATTTCCAAATGGTTTGCAGACAACCACCCATCTTTCCCAAGAGATGACAGTCAAAGACCACAGACCAGCGATACCTATTGATTGTGTTATACATAATAAACTTTTTTCTAATGCATTTTTCTGTAGTTGTTATTTCATTGTGAATAATGATGTCTTTGGGCAGTAACTTACCACATACAGACACGGTGTATCCCTCAAAAATACACATGGGATGTCCGAGGATAAAGTAGCCAAAAAACTGGTTGATGACACTGATGGTGCTGGCCAAAAGAGTCTCTCCTAGATCAGCTAAAGCAAGGTTGACCAGGATCCAGTTAAGAGGGTGATGGAGCTTCTTAAATTTGGCTGTGGCCACCAACACCAGGCCATTGGTGAAGGTCGAGGCAACGACCACAAAGAACATCCATACTGTTGCTAAGTTGTACACCCATCGAGGGGCAATGTGGTAGTTGGGTCCCTCAAAGGGATCTGGAAATGAGAAATAAAGAGCAGTAATATCACCATCTTGAAAGAGTTCTTACTTGACAGCCATTGCAACCAACTATCATTTTTCTAAAGCTTCTTATTTATCAGTCTGAAATTGTTCTTTGTCCTGTATGATCCTTCTGGCAGGTCAAAAAAAAAAAACATGTGAAGTTTAAGACTATGACTACCAAAGTTTTCTGTCTTCTTTCTATGCTGTTCAGAAACAGCTTAAAGCCCAAAAAGACTTTCACGTGGCTTTATCATATTAACAGAATAGCTATGTTTTTCAAATTACTATTATGTTTTTTTTTTAAATACAGAAAAAAATTACTAAAGACTTACCCTTGGTGTTATTGCTGTTGGTATATACAAACATCGATTCCCTCGTTGTTTCATCTCCCCTTCGCCTGGCTGCGAATATTGCATCTCCCCACTGCTCTGCCATTTTTGGAGGTTGTTGTATAGCCCAAACCTGTAGTTATTTAGCTGTTGTAAAGGTCTGGGCCTTTGTGCTTCTACTATCTGCTGTCTCTGGCTGACTCGCACCGACAGACTTTGGGCTCCTGTCAAAGTTCTTTTATACGCGAAAAAAGAGGATGCCCTGGCTTACAGGGTGAAGAATTTTTTAGGTCAAAACAGGAGCAGAACAAAGACTCATTCATTAGGCTTATAGGAGGCCTAAGCTACTGTTCCTTCCTAGGATTGTTGAAGCCATCACAGGTAAACCAAAACAGTGTGCGGTGACATTTGGCATGACCGAGCCAGGAGTGATTATACGGTGACAGCACCCTTTGATGCTTTCTAAGTTTTAAGTTTAGGTCACAGATCACTTTTGCACTTGACTGAAGCTTCTTGGACAGTGTGTCAAGAATGACTTTTATTAAACATGCATAAAATTATATTGCAAATAACTGAAACAGATGTCATTTTCTGAAACAAAATAGCATTAGAGTACTCTGGCTAAAAATAACAGAATCCTTTCCGGTGCTAAGTAGAATTCTGCATTTTAGGTTTCAAAAAATGGAGCTATAATAGAAAGGTTGCATTTTGCGTTTTACAATAAAAAATTAAGTTAAAGGTTAACAAATAAAAGAGGATTCTAGAGTTAGCTTTTTTTTTTTTTTATAATGGCCCCTGGTGTCTATTGCAGGAGTAAAGAACTTTTTACATTATTGTAAGATGTAGATTGCATTATATGGTACGTTGCACAAATACTACACATTTGCACATTCATACATTATATATTGCATAGTTAAATAGAATATATTACATAGCTTCAGTTCTATAATATTCCACACATGCAACATTTCAGCATATAAAGGTTCTTTAGGTGAATGTGGTTCTGAAGATATTAATATCATTAAAGAAGCTTTCATTTCAAAGCTTTTAATTTCAAAATTTCAGGCCATTTCAAAACTGAAGGTTCACTTAATTTCAATAAGTCGTAAATAATGTTAAAATGATTGCACAACTTTACTAAAGACTTTACAGAGTATATTTAAGTCTTTATAAAGGACAGGACATTTTCCTCAATGATATCAATGTCATTGTAAACACTGTGCCATACATTTAACAACACTTAAATCTTTACTCTCTCATGCCAATTTAAAACAAATTCAATTTCAATCGTAATCATCATGTTTTGTGCAGGGTTACTGTAAGTCAGACATCTAGGTTACAGTCCAAGTTCCAAATCAGCTTATTGGGACAACTGGGGTACCCAGGTACCCTCCACGAGGAATCTTAATTGGTATTGACAAGGATGCAGCCCAAACCTTCCTAATCCCAATGGATTGATGGTTCAGTTTAGGGAAAGCAGGGTTTATCTGAAAATCTTGATGAGGTCAGTTTTAATCTCTCCCTGTTTCTGACGATAGGCGTTTTCTTTCTTTCTGTTTTTTTCAGTCATCTGTTTCTCCTTCTATTGTGGCAAAGTGGAGCAGGAGGAAGTGAATGCTAGGATGTGAACAGACCAAGCCAGGATGAGGATGGAGCCAACATGAAGACAACAGCAGTCTGTAAACTTTTTTTTCTTTTTACACTATCAGTTGTTTCCTTGTTTTTGGCAAATGAGAAATTGCTAAGAACTGCCAGGTATTTGTTCATTATGATCTTTTACACTTTCTTTTAAAGTGGACTTAATGGAATTAATATCTATGCTTTGGTGGGATTGAGAATCATGTGTCACTATTGTGATGTTTTTTTGCTATCACAGTGTAACTCACAGATATTCAGTGATGTAGTTGAAAAGGATGTTTTTCAGAAACAGATGGATCAGAAAGTATCATGGGGCAGCACTCAGTCAGTCGTATGTCTGGAATTCCGCTAGTTCTGAACTATTCGTGATTGGCAAAAGTTCACTACTAGCAGAACTCGGATATACAACTGAATTCTCAACGAAAGCTCAAGATTAGCACAGTTTGGTCTCACATGGCCTGCCATTGGACAGCTGCTATATTCACAGTATATAGTGCTGAATGTGTATTTAAAAAAATACATTTGAATGAAATTAATCCATATAATAGATGTTAATCTAACATGGGCAAAACTTTGCTTTCACGGCTCATTGTTTCTCTAACATCATTTGTGGTCTAATTTCTAGATGAACTACCAAGTTGATCTTGTTCTTGATTTGATTGTGTTAGGCTGGATTGAAAATGACAAAAGCTCACTTCATATTCTTTCTTTGCACTTTTCTCTTGATTTGGAAGTGATCTTCTTATCGGATGAAGTACCAGAAGTTAAGGTGAGTAAGCATGCATACACAAATCAAAGACCTGAGCAATGACATTTTTTCTTCAGATCTAAAGACACATTGAAGTCCACTGTACATAAATTCTCATTATTGCTTATTAGTGCAAGAATTAAAAATGATTAAATATTAGTGCAGCAATTCAGTGCAAAGCAGTTTTGCATACTGGATAATACTCTGTCTAACTTTATTTTTCAGACCATCTTTGGATGTGCTACTCCATGAATCATAACTGAAGGGCTACGGACTTGATTACAACCAGACACATGAGATACTTCTCTGTTTTCATGTTTTAGCTGTGGTAAAATTGTGTGGTCTGTTTGAAACAGGAAGAAATAAGACCAATGTAACATATTTAATATATAAACTATTGTACTGTATGTCTCTACTCTTCAACTGCTACATTTAACAACACAATTCTTTCTTTCTTTGCATTTATTGTACATTTTGTAAGATAATAATGAATTTCTACTAATTCTACTGGTTCAGCAAGCCAAGACCAAGTTACAAAAAAATGTCAAGAATCAAAAATTCCTATTGTGTCTATGTTTATTATTTACAATCACTGTAAAATTGTTTTTCACTGCCAAAGTGGTTCTTTCCACAGGAGGAGGTTACATTAAAAATGGGTTTATTTCTCTGGTGCAACAGAGGAGACCTGGGTGACCTGAGATGAAGTAGAGGCCTCATCTTCCTCAATATTTTTGCCACAGACCATCTTCATCATACAGGAACGGAACTGGGTTTTAAAAGAAAAGAGCAGAACATGTTACTTCAAGTGATTAGTTATGCCATGTGAACATGGCACTTGGTACTGTATCCCTGTAGGGACAAACTTCAACAATACTGCAAATGTCCACTTAGCACATAATACTATACCTGTTTGTTCATTAAGACGTAGATGACAGGATTATACACTGTAGAGGCTTTAGAAAGGCAGGATGGTATGGTTGCCATTCTCAGACCAAAAGTTTCACCACGGTGGGAAACTATCCAGAGAGAAAAGCTAGCATATGGTGCCCAGCATAACAAGAAGCCGAACACCATCACCACCACCATCTTTGTCACCTCCCTCTCTGCCTTCTGGGTGGAAGCTGAATCTGCTTGAGCTTTGGCTGCCTGGTAGGACAAACAAGGGATTTTAGAGCACCTGGCAACGTGAGCAACACTGCAATAATATACATATACAGTCTTCATCTAGTGGACACGAGCAATGTGTATCCCAAAGCATTAAAGAGTGTGGCAGGGGAATGAAAAACATTTATCATATATTCATGTAAAAAATACATAATAAATGGTATTTTATCAGTTGTGTTATCAGTATTTAATGTTAGTATGAATCTTACCTTTATTAAAAAAATAAAGTGTGCATTTAATTTTATGATCTGCATGTTCATATAGCTATCTAAGGTTTTCCGATCAAAATAAAGAACAGGAATTAACCGAAAATAATATGGCTTTGTGGTCTTAATATTTATTTAAATCACTTATTTTTGTATTTTATACAACACTGTGATGTTCTACGAAATTCCTCTTCCTCACCCAAACTTTTACTCTTTTCTCAAAACATTGACATTTTACTAAAATTATTCATTCTGGGGCAGCTTTCAAAGGGAAATGCAAATTGTACTCACTAATTTGAGTGTAATGAGTAGTTGACCATAACAGAACATGATGGTGCCAAAAGGAACTGCAAAGCAGAAGCAGAACAAAAACATGACGTAGGATTCGTTGTTGTTAGTGGTATACCAGTCAGGTCCACAGGAGCACTGCAAACCTTCAGGTATGTACCTGTAAAAGAGATCTCAGTGAGACTGATGGGATAGACAACTCTACACACTTGAATTATAATCAGAGGATTTCACTTCTGGACTTCAACTAGCTGTTTAGGAGTGGAGCAAAAAGGTGCTAGGTGTTGGTTTTCTTTCTTCAGGTTCAGTGGAGGGAGGCACTGTGGCTTTGTCCTTATCAATGTAGTATGAGCACTGGGACTTACCGGCTCCAGCCAAACAGTGGAGGGAGTGAAGCTGCCGATGCACTAATCCAAGGAAGTATGCAGCCAGCTATAGCATGAGGGGTTTTGAAGGTAAAGTTCCCAAGGGGTTTGCAAATGACCAGCCACCTTTCAAATGCCACTACAGCAAGAGACCACAAACTCACCATTCCTGCAACAACAAAGAAAAAACAGAGAAACAGTTTATTGAATCTATGAACTACAATGGACTACAACAAGCCAACACAGAAACTTTAAAATAATGTGGATGCATGTTGCATTTTACCTCCAAGTGTTGCAAGGAAGCCCTCAATTTTACATGCTGTGGGCCCGAAGATAAAGTACCTATTAAAGAAGGAGTAGAACGATAACAGGGAACCAAAAATGGCCACAAACAGGTTGGCAATGGCAAGGTTTACAAGAATATAGTTAAGGTGAGATCTGAGTTTCTTGAACTGAATTGTGCAAACAATGGTAAGGATGTTGATCGAAGTCCCTCCGATGAAAATAAAGAACATGAAGACAGCCATGGCCATGAATACACCTTGGTTTCCCAGGTGGTCCTGGGGGACCAAAAAAGGGCTGTAACCTGAGAGGTTGTGGACATCTAAAGGAATGGGTATGTAGAAGTCTTCGTGGAACTCTGGTACTTGCTTCATCTTGTTTGAAACTGGCAACCACTCCACCAAGAACGCTGTAACGCCTTGAAGCTTAAATAAGTTGTTATTTCCTTCGCAGATTACTGTAGCATCGCAAAAAAATAAAGTCGAACTCGTATCGCTGTAAATTCTCTCTTCGTTGATCACCAGATGAAGCCTCCCTCAAATTATTGCCAAGTGATCCTTCTTTTATAAGGATTCAAAAGATACCATTTCGCTCCTCCCAAATGGCCTTAATGGAAGGATTTGTGTTTTGTTGTCATCTACCAAACACACAGGCTCTTATGCACGCACACACAAAACTACATCTGTGTATTGCAAAACACACATTTCACCTAATCTCATTTCCAACACCAAAACCTGGCTAATTCGGATCATCCCGTTCACCCTGCAGTGTGGTTCTGTGTTAGCGATGGCAGTTAATCTGCTGCACAGTGCAGATAATGCAGCTAATCACTTGCAGTTAACCCTCTTTAATCTGCTTCCCATCGTATTATTTTCAGCTCTGAGCCTGGAATCACAGCCTTTGAGAAGAGCCTTAAATACCTGACAGCTGAAATGCCCTTGACGCTTGTCTGTAGAGTGTTCTTGTCTCAGAGCCGAGAAAGGGACTACAACTTAGAACATCATGTGTACAAAACAGATAATAACCATAAATAATAGTCTATCAAATTATATTTAAAACTACATAAGCAAAATATAAGCAAAAAACAGATAATGCTAAATGCAGTGAGAAACAAGCTTGTCAGCACACTGGATCACACACAGAAATAATTATGAATTGTCAGTGATGACTTCACAGACACGGAATTTGACTGTACTGATGATTGTATTGATGTTCTGTTCATTATTTTAGGTTATTTCATGGTTTGTATTTTGATTAGACAACCTGATCGATTGAATGATCTATTTCAGATTTCAAAAAGCTATCTAAAGGGGAGTCTAATTGATTATATTCATTATTAATTAAAGTCAGTACATTCATTGCACCCACTATAATTGACAGAAAATGTGCTAATGACACTGGCACACATTTTTCATCAGTAAATACACTGAACAAAATTATAAACGCAACACTTTTGTTTTTGCCCCCATTTTTCATGAGCTGAACTCAAAGATTTAAGACTTTTTCTATGTACACAAAAGGCCTATTTCTCTCAAATATTGTTCACAAATCTGTCTAAATCTGTGTTAGTGAGCACTTCTCCTTTGCCGAGATAATCCATCTACCTCACAGGTGTGGCATATCAAGATGCTGATTAGACAGCATGATTATTGCACAGGTGTGCCTTAGGCTGGCCACAATAAAAGGCCACTCTAAAATGTGCAGTTTTACTGTATTGGGGGGTCCAGGGGGGTCCGAAAACCAGTCAGTATCTGGTGTGACCACCATTTGCCTCACGCAGTGCAACACATCTTCTTCACATAGAGTAGATCAGGCTGTTGATTGTGGCCTGTGGAATGTTGGTCCACTCCTCTTCAATGGCTGTGCGAAGTTGCTGGATATTGGCAGGAACTGAAACACGCTGTCGTATACGCCGATCCAGAGCACCAGTCTTAGATCTTTGAGTTCAGCTCATGAAAAGTGGGGGCAAAAACAAAAGTGTTGCGTTTATAATTTTGTTCAGTGTACATTTAATGAGGTTAATAATCACACTAAAAGTGAATGTTACACAAATATAGTATTACATAGACTATACAAAACCTATACTGTAAAAAATGATATGATCAGTAAGTCACGGCAACTTATGTTTTTACATTCATTCGTCAAAATTAATCAAGCAATTTCAAATTTGTTATAATTACACCAAAAAAAAAAAAAATAATTTTGATTTTTTTAAAGTCGGTTTAATGCAATTTAAGTTGAAATTACTTGTACAGCCAAGGTGATTATACTTAAAGGTCCCATGGCATGAAAATGTCACTTTATGAGGTTTTTTAACATTAATATGAGTTCCCCTAGCCTGCCTATGGTCCCCCAGTGGCTAGAAATGGCGATAGGTGTAAACCGAGCGGTCAGCTCATCACAGCAGCCTATGAAAGTGTGAAAGCCTTCTCCACAAAACTAAGATTGTGGAAAACTCAGCTTTCTGCGAAAAACCTCAGTCATTTCTCAACATGCAGATCTCTTGTGGAGGAGGGCACAGCATTCAATGGTGATGAATATGCCTCTGCTATTGAAAACCTACTGCAGGAATTTAATCAGCGTTTTGCTGACTTCAAGGCACATCGTGACACTTTCCAGCTGTTTGCAGACCCCTTCTCAGCTGATGTGGAGAGTGTCCCACGTTTGTTGCAAATGGAACTTATTGACTTGCAGTGCAACAGTGAGCTAAAAACTAAATTCAGAGAGGCTCAGGGACAAGCAGACAAGACTGGACAGTTTTTGAGAGAATTACCTCCATGCTTCCCAGAGCTGTCCAAAGTGTTCACTCGGGTAATGTGCTTTTTTGGAAGCACATATCTTTGTGAGAAACTTTTCTCAACTATGAACTTCAATAAATGCAAGTACAGGTCCAGGCTTAGTGATGCCCATCTTGAAGCTGTACTCAGAGTTTCAACTGTGACCTCCATCAGGGCAAACATGGCTCAGTTGTGTGAGCAGAAGCGCTGCCAGGTGTCTGGCAAGAAATAGAATAGTGTACAAATGTATTCAGGGTTTGCATTTATTCAGTGCAATGTTGTTAGTTGAGTGCAAGGTTTTAAGTTAAGTTAAAATAAAGTAAGGGAAAAATATTTGCACTACCTGTTAAAGGTCCCATGGCATGAACATTTCACTTTATGAGGTTTTTTAACATTAATATGAGTTCCCCTAGCGTGCCTATGGCCAGTGGCTAGAAATGGCGATAGGTGTAAACCGAGCCCTGGGTATCCTGCTTCTCCTTTGAGAAAATGAAAGCTCAGATGGCCCAATCCGGAATC